CAGAAACTATGATTATTGTTACCCTCTCGTTATTGCTGCCTGCCAATGCCACCTGGACATCTAGAATCATCTCAGACATGACTCATCCCTAACCCAAACCTGCTCTATCTGCAGCCTTGCTTGTCTCAGTAAGTGGCAACCCTGTCCTTCTAGGAGCTCAGCCCCAAACCTTGCAGTCATCCTTGGCTTCATTCTTTCTCTCACATCCTAAATCAAATTCACTAGAATATCCTGTTTTCTCTTCCTTAAATGCATCCAGGGTGTATTTATACATCCACTGTGGTCTCAGCCAGTGTCCTCTCTCACCCGGATAACTGCCTCCACACTGGTCTTCCTGTTTCTACCCAGACTCATGTATTGTCTGTTCTCAACACATAAGAACAGGTTATTTTTGACACATAAGTCAAAGCGTATCCTTCCACCATTCAAGATGCTCTATCAACTTCTCATCTTGCTCAGAGTAAAGCTCCAATCTTAAGGAAGGCCTCCATGTGATCAGCCTTTCCTCCCCTCTTCACTTCATTTCCTACTCCTCTGTTCCAGCCACACTGGCCTTGCTGTTCCTAGAACATGCCGAGCACTTCCCTTACTAGAGGACTTTGCACTACTGTTATCTTTGCCCAGTAATGGTAAACAAACTGTCGGGTTTCTGCAAGATAAAGTTGATGATGAGACCGTACAAAGAACTGGGGCCTGGGGCAGTGGGCACAGAGAGAAGAGCCTAGAGACCTTGGCAGGGGCCAGATCATGAAAGGCTCTGAATGTCCCCTGAGAAGTGGGCAGCTGAGGAAGGTGTGTGTGCAGGGCAGGGCTGGGACTAGGGTGGGATGAGTGAAGTACTCCCCTCAGGTGCAGAATTTCAGGGGGTGCCAAAAACCTCAGTAATCAAGACACGGAGTATTTAAAAAATCCAAATTAATGCAAAAAAAATCCATGACGAACAAAATATCAAACTTTTAAGTAAAGACAGGAGCACTTCAAGTGCACTTTATCCTAGTCCCAGCCGTGAGCTCATAAACTCTGGAAGGATGAGCCTGACGGCCACACCACTGGGAAGGTCCAGGGAGAAAAAGAGGTACAGAGACCCGGCCCAGGGATTGGACAAGATGTTCCTTGTAAAATGCGGGTAGCAGGTCTTGTCCCACAGGAACCCGGGAGGATTAGTGAGATAATGGACAGAAATCCTGTGTTTGGTGGTTGTGCAGTTTGGGTTGGGAGACTGGAAAGGCCAGAGAGAGGAGGGGCATGGGCACAGGGGCGGGGCAGCGTGGGGGAAGGGGCACTCACATGGCTCACTCAGGTGAGGACCGTCCCCGGACATCATCTGACCTGGAAGGGGAGAGTGCAGCAGGTGGAGGAGCTGAGAGAGAAGGCTGCGCGGGTCCCCGCGTTCCCCGCTGAGGTGGGGCCAGGTGATCGGGGCCTTGAGATCGAACCTGCGGGCAGGTCTCTGGGACCGCGCAGAGGCTGCGAGGCGGGGCGGACTCCGAGACTCCGGGGCTCTGAAGGCTAGGTTGGTAGAGTGAGGGGGCAGGGCCAGAAGTCAGGGGGCAGGGCCAAGGCTAAGGGGTGGGTCTAGAAAGAGACCGGGACCAAGGGACCAATGGGATTCTGGCGTGTTGAGTCTGAGGTTGCACGTTCGCCCAAGCAGCTGCAGAGCCAGGTGCGGATCATACCAGCCCCCACTCCCCGCCCTGGCGCTGGGGCAGTATGTGTCTGTGTCTGGATGCGGCAGGAGCCAGGATCCCTGGTCCAGGGTAGAGTCCCATTAGCTCCGGAAGAGGCCAGAGCAGGCCTTGGGGTGGGTGGACGAGCTTGGATCTGTCAGCTTTCTGGGCGGGGCAGCCACAGCCCCTGCCTCTCTGCGGCCCTGCCAGAGCTCCTCATCGCCTCCACCCCCTGACCCAGAACTGGTACAAGGACCAGGAATCCTGGGTTCTTTTCTGGACTGCTGATCATGCTGTCCTTCATCCCTCTTCCGTGTGGTCTCCCCAGTTCCTGCCATCCCAGGAGAGGCAGGCAGGGGTTAAGGAGGAGGAAGGGCCTGAGCGATGGAAGGATGAGACCAGAGCTCAGTGACTTTTCTTGCTGTGTTTTGCCTTTTTGGGTTTCATCACGGCCAACCCAAGGCTCGCTGGAGGCAGGTCACAGAAGAGCCTGTGGTCTGGCAGGAAAGCCTGGGTTAGTTGGGAGGCTGAACTTTCTGGACAAGAGCCCAGGTGTAGGTGGCTCTGCACTCCTGCAGCCAGGGCCTGGCCTGGAGGGCAGACACTAGGCTGCTTCAGCGTTCTTCTCCCCTTGCTTCTCTTCTCCTTTGTTTCCAGATATTTGCACCCGCCACAGGGAGGGGCAAGAGATTCATAGCCTCGGAATTGGCTGCGTTCATTTAGTCCCTTCTCCACTTCTAGGTAAGGCTGAATAGGGAGGTGAGGGGAGCAAGACGCACAAAGTTTTTCACTGTAACTAAAAGAAAGACTTGACGGGAACAGAGAAAAATGGCGAGAAAGGTGGGAGCACGGTGTGTGTGTGTGTGTGTGTGTGTGTACATGCATGAATTCTGCTGTCAAATCAGCTGAGTTCAAGTGTAGGCACCATTATTTCTTAGCTGTGTCTCGTGAACTTCCTCAGCCTAAGGATAATAATAATACTCATCTTGTAGGTTATCGAGCATTTTGACACACATAATGATATTTTGGTGTCATATAGAATAGTTGTCCTGCCCTAAAAAAATCCTCCATGTTTCCCCCATTCATCTTCCCTCCCTCCCTTTGAGCCTTGGGCAACCATTGATGTTTTTACTGTCTTCAAATATTTCATATTTTTTGATGCTACTGTAAATGGTGTTCTTTTTACAATTTCAATTTCTGGTTGTTTATTGCTAGCATACAGAAATATAATTCTTTTAACATATTGATCTTCTAACCCACAGCCTTGCTAGACTTGTTTTAATTGTAGTAGCATTTGTGTAGATGCCATTGGATTCTCTACGTAGAAGATCACTGCATGAGTTTTTGAACCGAGGGTTAGCTGATGTGAAGAGACCACTGTGTTTCAGCCGGAGCGGCGCACTGGGAGAAGCTGTGCCGCACTACTTTTAATGAAATGATAGGGTAGGTCTGGCTAGGAGTGGAGGTGCCCAGGGGAAGCATTCCTCTGGAACCACAGGTCCAGTAGTGGTCCCTCCCTCCTTCCCCGCCTGCCATGTCTCCATTCTTCCTCTTGGTGTGGATGTCCAGGAGATGCAGGAGTTTCGCCCACTTTCTGCCCCTTCCCAGCCCTCAGGAGGACTGGAGCGGGACCATCTGCTGCTCCTGCTGCTTCTGCCCTGATTTCTTTTTCCACCTATGGGGGAAGGAGAAGCCGGGTTTGGGAGTAGAGTTGGGGGATCCTTTTTAGGTGTTTGTACTCAGCTGTCCCACTTTGTGTCCAGATTTCCCACGGTTTCCAAGAGCCACCAGTCCTAGAAAGGATTCTAGGGAACTCAGTCTATCTCTGAGAACAGGACCAGGAAGCAGGGGGCCTGGATTCTGGCCTTGAATCCACCAGAGTCCAGCTGAATGACCCCAGGTAAGTCCCTGCTCTCCCCTGAGTCTTGTCTTTTTGTCAAATGGGGCTAGATCAAGGAGCTGCGAGGTTCTTGTAGTTCTGAGGGTAGTGAGGGGAGGGGAGGGCGCAACTTACCTTCTTTCCAGGTCCTGCACTGTGTTGGGCAGTGGCTGTCCCAGAGTCTCTGGCAGGAGGACAGTGATGGGGCAGGCAGCCACAAGGTTGGCTCCATAGATGAAAAGAGGCAGGGAAGGGTAGACCTCGGAGGTCATGTCCACCAGGGGGCTCAGAATGCTGCCTGCGTTGGCCAAGGTGATTGTTACGCTCACACTTCTCTGCCTGTGGGGAGGAAGAGCACCTCGGTGAGGCCAGTGGGGCTTGTGGATACCCTAAGTCTGCCTGCCAATGGTGTTTTCTCTTTTTATGTTCCCTACAGGGCCAAATGCTTGCACTTACCTTGGCTAGTAGGAAAGTTGGAAGCAAACAGTTTCAGAATCAGTAAGCCTGGGCTCCAGTTCCAATTTAAACCTGCTGTATGACTGTGAACACGTCCCCAGCCTACCTCTTCCTGAAGCTCCAGACGCTATATCCAACTTCCTCCTTGACATCTCCATTCTGGGTGTCTAAAAGGCTCCTCAGATTTTCTGTGGTCAAGAACACTTTGTTTTTACCTCTTATAGTCTGCCTCTTGCTCAGATTTCCCTATCCTGGCACAGGGCACTTCTAACCACCCAGTTGCTCAAGCTCAAGTATCTAGTAATTGTCCTTGATGCCTCCTGTTCCCTTATTTCCTCACATCCAAAATATGAATTTTGATGGCTCTTCCTCCAAAACACATTCAGAATCAGTTCCCTCCTTCCCATCTTTAGAACTGCTGCCCACCAGCTTCATTAGAACCACATGCCAAGCCATTTTCATCTCTTGACTGTGCTATTGCAGTAGCTTCCTGACTGGTGGCCCTGCATTCTACTCTTGGCCCTGGCCTTCTATCACCAGCCTATGCTCCATGAGGAAGCCAAAGTGATCTTTCTAAAGGAAGTGATCTTTTAAAATGACCTTTCAGATCGTTTCACCCTCTGCTTAAAACTACCCAGTGATGTCTCATCATGCTAGAATAAAATCTGATCTCTTTCTAAATCCCTGCATGATTGGTCCCTGCCTACCCAGTTCTTATCTTGTACCCTGTCCCTTTGTTTCCTCATTAAGGCCTTACTGTTTACCTTTGATCTTTACTGAGGAGAACTGCCCTATTAACCTGATCATCATATCTACAGCGGATACCTAAGGGGGCAGGTGGAGCTCAGTGGTAGAGCGTGTGCTTGACATGCACTAGGTCCTGAGTTTAATCCCCAGTGCCTCGACTTAAAAATTTTTTAAAAATGTAGATACCCAGTCAATCTCTGTTTTTCTACTTTTTTTAAACTTTATGTGTTGAGGGTTAAGTTAATCATAACCCTCAGTTCATGAACCCCACCTTGTATTATTGTTGATCATTGAAATGTCCCCTTATTCCCTCCTTAATTGTTTATTCCTTTTTATCACTATTCCCCACTCCTAATCCTCTCCCTGCCAAAGCCAACTATTCTGTTGTGTTTAATGTGGATTTTTTTATTTGGATATGTTCTTGTAAAACGTGCATTGTTTTGTGCGCAAATATTTTAATTTACCTAAATGGTAGTCGGTAGATCGTTCTATTTCTCATTGCATTCAGCTCTCTGTTTTAAAGATATTTCCATGCTGATGTGTAGTACTCCACAGCGTGCATCTCTCCACAGTCTACCTAAACATCTAGATTGCTGCTATCAGCCGTGACGTCAAACAACACTGCACAAACGTGCTTGTACATGAATCCTTAGGAGCCTTTGTGAGAAGTTCTCTAAGATAAGGCCCAAGGAGGGAATTGCTAGGTCATTCTGTGTGTGTGTGTGTGTGTTGCCAGTTGTTCTCCAGAATGGTGGCACCACCTTCTCACTCCCACCAGTGGTGCATGTGGGCCATGTGGGGATTTAGAGGTCTTGGGTTCTCCTGAGGCCACCAATACTTGGCATTATCCAGCTTTTTAATGTTGCCGGTTTAATGTGTGCAAAGTGACGATCTTGTTCTTTATGTAGTTAATCTTTTGAGTTTCATTGTCTTTAAAATACCCACTTATTTATTTTGCCCATATTTCTACTAGGATTCCTTCTTTTTCTCGTTGACTTGTAGGAGTATCATGTGTATTCTTAATATTTGAACTTTGCCCGTCTTAAATGTTGCAAATATCTCCATCCAACCTGTCATCTGTCTTTTAAATTTGTCCATTGTGTCCTTCAATAAGCAGAAATCCTTTACGGTATCACATTTATATAGTTGTCATAACTTTCTCTTCCTCTCCCTCCCCTTCCCTCTCCCCCTCCCTCTCCCCCTCCCCCTTCATCTCCATCTCTACCTGTCTGTTTCCAAGCCCTCTCTTCAATTCTATTCATCTCTTCTTGCACCAAGAAAGCCATAGACATACTATGGCTTTGTTGTTAGTCTAATAGGAGGGTAAAGTGAGACTCTCCTCTTTGTTTTTCCCTTTCAGAACTGAGTAGCAACTGTGGCCTTTTTTCTTCTACATACATTTTAGAATAAATTTTTGGAGCTCCTAAAAATGATCTAATTGAAATTCTGGTTAGATTCTGTTGAATTTCTAAAAATTTCTTTAAGTTAACTTGGGGAGAGTGGTCATCTCTATAATGTTATGTCATTCTAAACAAGAGAGTGGAATGTCTCTCCATTTCCTAAGATACTCTTTGTAATCTTAAAAAGGTTTCAAAAATTTTCTCCCTGGAAGTCTTGGGTGTCCTATGTTAATTTCCTGGTATCACCTAGCTTTTGATGTTATTCTGAATGGTGTCTTCAGTTTTAAAAGATTTTCTAGGTTATTTTCTGGGTGATTTCTCTGTATTATTGCTTCTAGGTTATAGCTTCCGGGTTATTGCTGTTAACATCTTGGTAATTTGATTTTGTATCCAGCATTCTGCTGAGCTCTTCTATTCGTTTTAATTGTCTATTTGATTAGCTTATCTAGGTAGATGATCATATTGTCTCTAAATAATAACATTTTAAACACTTCTCTTTTAAATTTCTTATTTCTTTTTCTTCCCTAGTAGAGCAGTGTGGTCCAGGAACACCCCAGGACTGTGTTGAACAGTTGATTCTGAGGTCAGAGAGAACACACATAACTTTCTTCACTATGTACAGTAGTGTTTGCTTTGGTGCCCAGATGCTCTGCTTATCTCTCTGGGTTTCTAATTTCCCTTAGATGGTTGCCCTAGCTTTCCCTTACTCTCATTCCAGCTCTTTAATGGCTATTTTAAAATACTTTATTCTTTTTTGGGGTTATTGCCAATGTTATTTTGTTATTTTAATGAAAATAGAAGTCCGTTTTTCCCAATGGATTTCCAGAAGTTCTTTACAAATGCTATACACAAATACTTGCAAATACCTTCTTTTTATTTCTTTCACCTTGTTTATAGTGAAACAAATGGTCAGCATTAAAAAAATTCAAGGTTGAAAAATTTATCAATGTTCCTTTTTTGGTTAGCCTCTTCTTATGTCTTCAGAAATCCTCCCCTCTTCAACAGAAATTAATTTTCCTTTAAGGCTGAAATATGGATTGCATTTGATTTATTTCCCATATGGGTGAGTAGATGTCCTGGTACTATTTGTTACATAGTCCATGTTTTAGCCAATCATCTGCAGTGCTTCCTCTGCAGGTTTTTCCAGTGCGTGGGTTTGTTTCTGGGTTTGCTATTCTTTTCCAATGGACAATTTGTTCTTTCCTGCTCCAGAATCCACCATCTTAATTACTACAATTTTATAGTAAGAGTTTATAATATGTCTTGGTTTCTGGTAGGGCAAGTCTTTCCACTCTGTTCATTTTAAAAAAGTACCTTAGTTATATTTGGCCCACAGCAGTTTTTTAATACATCTTAGAATTTGCTTGCCAGTTTCTTTAAAATATTCATTGGGATTGTGATCATAATTGCATTCAATTTATGAATCAATATTGGAATCACTGACATTTTAATATCATCTTATGTCAATTATGAGTTGATATATTATGGGATTTCCTATCCATCACATAATACATTTATTTACACTTTCTTTAATACATTTCAGTATAATTTAAAAACTTTCTTGATATAAGAATTGGAAAAAACTCTAATTTTTAGCAGAGAAGAGAATGCAATTGATCTTTTATTTACTGCCTTTGTATCCAGCCACCTTGCCAAACTTAATATTTCTAATAACTGTAGATTTTTACATTCTCTTTAAATAGTGATAGTTTTGATTTTTTCTTTCCAGGCCTATTCCCATTATTTGCTATTCTTATCTTAGGCACTGACCACATTCTCCAGGATAATGCTGAATAGGGGAGGAGATGACAGGTACATTGGTCTTGTTCCCAAGTGTAAAGAAAATGTTGCTAATGTTTCACCATGAAGAATAATATTTGCTGTGGATTTTTGGTAGGTGTTCCATATCAAGTTAAATTTTTTTCTATTATTGTTTTACTAAGACTATTTTTGAGGGATATTAATTTTTATGAAAGTTTTTTTTTTGCTTTGTTGGAGTATTAATCTATTATTGTGGTGATCTTAATACATTTTCTAATGTAAAACCACCCTGGCTTTCCTGAGATCAACTCTTCCTTGGTCATAATGTATTATCTTTTCTTATACATCACTGGATTCATTTTTCTAATATTTTATTTAGGATTTTTGTGTCTGTTTATGAGTAATATTGCCTGGAATCTTTATTTCACAACTATCCTCCTTTGATTTCAGTATTACCTGGACTCACAGAATGAATGTTGAGATAATTCCCCCTTTCTCTTGGGAAGCATTCATGTAACATTGGAAAATTTGGTCCTTAAAATTGTGTTGGAACTCACCTATACTAATATATGGGCCTGATACAGTCTTTGAGGCAAGTTTAAGGTTTACTATTCAGACTTCTAATTTACTCTAGGATTACTTTTCCTATAGTATCTTTTTTAGGAATTAGATTTCCTATAGTATCTTTTTAAGGAGTTTATCAATTTCATTTAAATTTAAAATTCATCAGCATAGACTTGTTTATAGATTTTTTGCATCTTTGTAATTACTCTAGATCTATAGTTCAGTTTTTTATTCCTAATATTTATTCATGTCAAGTCTTTTAAAAATTATTATCAGAGCTTTGCCCATTTCATCGATATTTTCAAAGATATACTTTTTGTTTTGTTGAACCTCTTTTTTATATCTTATTTTTTATTTAATTTATTTCTGGTATTATTACTATTATTCGTGTTTTACAGGTAAGATTACTGAGGATTTGGACTAGCTACCTTTTACACCAGAGCCATATTCTTTACTATTGTACTTTTTTTGGTCTTAAGGTCTACTTTGATTCCTATATCTACCTGACTTTCTTCTGGTTAATATTTGCCTAGTATATCTTTTTCTAATTCTCCATATTTAAGATTTTCATGGTCTAACAATTTAGATGTGTCTCTTGTAAACTGCATGAATTAAACTTAAATAAAATCGACTTAGAACATCTCTGCCTCTTAACTGGTAGGCTTAGTCCATTTACATTTATTGTAGTGGCTGCTATATTTGGAATTATTGATACCATCTTACTTTTTGTCTTTATTTGTGCCCATTTCTGTATTTTTTTCTCCTTTCTTGCCTTAAAAATAGTTGACTGACCTTTGTGCACTTTCTGATTGGAAAACTTCTGGCTCTAGGGCCTGATTGTTCCACTCCAGGACTCCTCCCCAATACCCCACTCACTGCATTACTGTGGGGTACAGCTCCCCCGTGTACACAGAGATGCAGTTCATGGAGCTAGTCACACAGCCTTTTCCTAATGTGGCCATTGTGATGCGGAGGAATATCTGATCTGGAAGGAAAAGAGATAATGATAAAGTGCTGGGAAAGGTTTGGAGGAGCATTGGGTCATTCATACCCTTTTAGGTAGCTGGCTTTGACCAGATTGGGAGCTGGGCTTGGGAAACGATCAGGGCAGGAGAAGGAATGGGGCATATGCTCACCTAGGGGTATCGCAGCACAGGTCAGAATGAAGATCCCTGATAGCAGCAAGGAGGCCACTTGGGTAGGCCTGTGGCTAATTGATTTGGTGGCCAGAAAGCCCAGGATATAAAATGGTAAGTCCACAGTTGTGAACAGCACCTGGGCCAGGTAGATGTTGACCCCAAAACTTTGCAGACTCATGAACAAGCCAAAGAAGCTGAAACAGTGTACCAATCTAGGGCAGAAGCAGAGGGGATACACTTTGGGTAATAGCCATGCCACATCCATGTAGCAATTACAGTTGGCAAACTGCTCTCACATCAGTTTTTTCCTTTAGGCCTATGAGCGGGGTTTTTATATTTTGAATGCAGGTAAGAAAGTCTTCCTTTAATTCTAAAAATTAGAATATTATGTATTGTATGTTAAACTACATTTTACAGTTACCTAGGAGAAAATAATGTTTTTACTTTGTAATAGGCCCTCTTTCCCTCCTCCCACTTCCCTGCCTTAAGGGCCCTGCTTTTGATAAACTCACGCTTTGATTAGTTGATTGCACTGGGAAAGGGTGTTTTGGAGAGACCCTGTCCTCACAGGGTTGCTCAAGTAACAAATGATAAATTATAATAAAGAAGGATTCATTTAATGCCATGGGTTTTGCTTTGCTGAGTGATGTATGCAGATTTACAGCCAGAGATGAATTCTTAGGAGGAGATTTTAGAGGTTACGCAGAAGAAGTGTCAGGAGAGAGAAGAGGGAAGAATCAATGACTTAGCCAAGAATGGATTTGAGGGAGAACTATTAAGTTTTTGGCTGTGTGGTGTGTGATATAACATTCCTTCCATCTCCCATGGAGATGGATTCCTAAAATCAACAATGTTTAGTTACACTTTGTAGGGCAGCTTTGCTCCTTAAAGATGCGCTGAAGTGTAGTGTCCTGCCTCAAAGTTGGTAGAAGGCACAGTGAGAAGCTGTCCATAGAAGAAAACGAACCATTCCATATTTAAGAATTGAGCAGAATAGTATTGGTACTAGAACAGACAGACAGGTCAACAGGACTGAGGAGCTCAGAAACAGTATGTGGTGAGGGTGATGTTTCACACCAGCCAGGAAAGGTTGGACCACTCATTAAATGGGCTTGGGACAATTAACTAATCTAAGAAAAAATACAGAATCCTACTCCCTACTGTATGTTCAACTAAATTTCAGATGGAATATGATAAAATATAAAAACACAAACAAGTACAAATGAACATGTTTGAAGAAAATCTAGGTGAATAGTTTTATACTTAGAAGGAGAGTAACCTAAATAAATTAAAAAAAAATAGATGGATGTGATTATAGAAAGCAATAAAAGTTCTCTTCAAAAAAAATTGAAGTATAGTAGATTTACAATGTTGTGTTAATTTCTGGTGTACAAAGTTCTCATTTTGAAAAAGCGATAAATGAAAAAAATAGATTTTAAAATGCAAATGCAAAAATATTGTCCTTATATGGTAATGGGTTAGTGTCTTTAATGTAAAAGAGGGTTCTAAACAAGTCAATACAAAGGAAAAACGGGCAAGGAATGTGAACAGGAAAAAAAAAGAAATTATGAACAAATTAAAATTATATGAAGAAAATGTCCAATTTTTTCCAGAACAAAATAAATGTGAATTAAAATAGCAAGGTACTTTTTCTATTTCTTAGAGCAGTAGTATTTGGTGTTGATGAGGGTATCCTATGTAATTTTGTGAAATGTAATTTTGCTGGAGAGTAGGTGGCAATATTTATGAAAGCCTTAAATAGTTTCATACATTTGGCCCAGTAAGCACACTTCTAAGGTTTCTTTAAAAATTTTTTTTTGTTATTGAGAGGTAATTAGGTTACTTATTGATTGATTTAAATGGAGGTACTGGGGATTGAATCCAGGACCTCCTACGTGCTAAGCATGCACTCTGCTGGTTGAGCTCTACCCTCCCCACACATTTTTAAGGTTGATCCCAGGGATATACGACAGATGCATGAGGAATGTGTGCATATAGATACTTGTTTATAACTGAGAAGAGCTGGAAAGAACCTGTTTGTCCACACTGGTACTAGTAAAATAAACTATAAAATTATGGAATGCTGTGTATTCTTTAAAAGTGGAGTTCTGATTGGAGGTGGGGAAAACTCATTTATAATAATATAAGGAGAAGCTGCCAGGAAAGGTAATATGTATAGTAAATGTTCAAAAGAGATTCTGTATGAGGTCTTACGTGTTTGGCAATATTTTGTGTATGATACTTTGTTGCTAAAAAGGTAAGACATTCAGTCAGTACAATTGAATAAATATAATCATCTCCGTCAATAACACCCATAAAAACCTGGGGCACAAGATGTTTGGAAACGTGTAAATGATAAGGAGGAATAGACAGTGCTTTTTAATATATGTGTGTGTTTGTGTGTATGTGTGTGTCTGGAAGAGAAGAGAGAAATGAGGAGGTAGAGTTTGGGAGGTGTTTGTGGGGAGGACAGGAATAAAATAATATGCTGGAGGACCTGCGTGGTGGATAAAGGGAATATATTCAACTTATGTGCCCTGGAACTTCTAGCATCTGCTTGTTCTTTCTGCTGCTGGCATGGGAGCAACCAGCACAAATAAACCACATGGCTGTGAATTGCCCCACCTCTCCCATGTCTCAGAACCATTGCATGGAGACAACCTGGACTGGAAACAGGATGCTTTTCATGAGTTGGCTTGAGTTGCTCATCACTGTGATAAACTGCTGCCTTCAAAGCTCTCCCAGCCCCTTGCCACAGCCAAAGAGTATGAAGCCCTCTTGGAAGGAGTGAATCAGTGAGAATACAGGGTCAACTGAGTGGATCTACATTTATTGATTTAGAAAGATGTTCATGAATTATTAAGGGCAAAAATTTCTAGAACTGTAGGAAGAGTATGATTGAATTTTTGTAACTACATATAATGTAAATTACTGTGTGTATGTTTCTTGTGGGTGAAAACAGTCGAAGTTTGAACAGACATTTACTGGTATGTTCATGGTGGTTATTTCTGAAATATAGGATTAGGAAATCATTAAATTTTTTTGTTTGCTTATCCTTACTGCCTAATGTCACCTTGTAAACATGGATTATCTCTAAGTTTTCCTTCAGAGCTATTTTGGAAATGTGCAAATCAAGTGAGATCATAGCTATACTTTTGTCAAATGCAAATGACCCCATTGCCAGGGACATTTTGCACAGTATTTAGGAAGACGTGGTGGCAGACAGACTCTAGGGTGGCCCCCTGCTAGCAGACCCACTCTAGAGATTCTCCTTGCTGGCATGGTGAAATGGGCAGCCATGGTGGGAGAGCCATGTGAAGAATGAAGAGCAGCCCCTAGAAGCTGAGGAAACCCCCACTCCAGCAGATAGCCAGCGAGAAGCCAGAGCCCCAAATCCTACAACTGACAAAAAAAAAAAAGAAAGGACGGTACCTTAGCTTTTGGGATTAGCTGCTGCTTTTTTTTTCACAACATCAGTGGGGCAACTTGGCTGAGTTCAGAGCTCAGGATGGGAGGGACAGATGGGCTTTCTCCAGACAGATGGGGGACCCCTGTGCCTCTAGAGCACCAGTGTCCTTTTCCAGTGGCTGTGGGACCTCCCTCAGCCTCCCACCTACCCAGCTTGTCCTGTTTTCTTAGTCTGCTTATCTGTCCATCAGTCTGTCTCCTATCTGAATGGGGATGGACCTACCACAGTGGCACAATACAGAGGAAGAACCGGCAGACTGCAGGGTTGCGCAGCAGCTGCAGAATCGAGGGCTGGGCTCCGCCTGTGGTCGGGCCATCCTGCAGACTCATCTGGAGTAGCTGCTTGGATAGACGAGGCTCAGGGCTTGGGTTCCCTTGGGGACCCCTTCCCTCATTCCCTACCCAGGGAGCACCAGATGTCCTGGGTTCTAGGGTGAGGGTTGGGGCAGGCAGAGCCCTGGTAGGGTATCACAGAAGGTCCTGGGGTTCTCACCTCCACACTCAGCTTGGCACCCTCTTCCTGCTTCCCATTGATCTGGGCCACTCTCTGTAGGGCCTTCAGGGTGAGTTCCAGCCTTCCCAAGGAGGAGTATCAGAGGGCAGACTCAATGAAGAACCTATAGGTGGGGTGTGGGGATGGGCATAACTTCAGCCTGGGTTGACAGAGTTGTGGCTTCCTGAGAAAGGCACAGACCAGAACAGGAAGATATCTTGGAGGGGTGAAAAGAATTCTGGGCTGAGGATTAGGAGCCATGGGCTCTACTCCAAGGATTACCGCTATCTTCTTGGGAGACCTGGGATATGTCTTGCCCCTTTGTAGCCATGGTCTTCCCCACCTATCAGTCTGAGCATTAATTCTTTTTGCTTTGATCTGCTTAGAACTAGGGGGCAAGGTGAGAATGTCCTAGGAGATGCTATGCCCACCTGTGACTTACTGTGAACCCTCTATCCTACTCACACCTGGAGCAGATGAGGAAGACAAAGAAGGGCAGAGAGACCAACAGCTGTAGGTGGCGCCAGTGGGGCACAGCATAAACCATGCCACCGAGGAAGAGCTGGCCTGTGGTGGGGGCAAATCCTAATAGGAGGCCCAGACTTGGCTGGGCATGGACGGGCAGCCACTCCAGACCTGGGGAGAAAAGCAGAGCTCAGGTTGAACTCAGGGCTGTGTAAATATGAATTTGGGTGGGGGCAGGTAGTCACTTCCAGATGGAAAAGTATCCTCACATTGGAGTAGAAGGGCTCCTCTCTTGAGCTCAACCCTACACTGGACCACCAGCCCCTCATAGGGTAAGGGAAGGGTGGTTTGATCTCTGGCTAGGTTCAGTGGGTGCGTGGAACAAGGGATGGGCTGGAAGGCTCTGAATTCCCAGGCATGCTCCTATTCAGTGTCCCCAACCCCAACATTCCCCAAAACCTCTTTTGACCCGCCTATAGCCACTCCCTCTGTACTTCCTTCAACTTATTTTAATTCAATAAACATTTAGAGTTGACTGTTCTGTGCCACGCCCTTTGTTTGACCTGGGAAATAGAGATAAATGTGCCCTACTCTCAGGCCATCCTGCACCACTTTCATTTTCTCCAGTGGGTCACACTCTGGCCTCTGGCCTTGTATATTCTATTCTTTTTGTCTAGAACTCTTCCCTAGAACCTTATTCCCTCTCTTCCTGCCTCACTTTTCAATCAGTTTTGAGCTTAGATGTCACCTTTTCTGGGGAGATCTCCTGGAGCCACAAGTCCTGATTGAATACCCCACTTCTGAGCTTCCATATCACCCAGGATGTTCCCCATCCCAGCCTTTAGTAAACCAGTTTGTAACTGCGTGGCAGTATCCTCCATTTGACTATCAGTTCTTTGATGTCATGGGTAGTGTCCTCTTGTTCACTTGTATATCCTGGTGCAGGATCTGCACAAATTAAATGCCTTTTGAAATTGTATTGAATAAAAAAATGTTGAATTAAAGGCTCCCAGTTTGTTTGGCCTCTCTAAGCAATCTCATTCCAATCTCTGAGTCTTTAAGAAATTTTTTAAAAAAATGGAGGTACTGGATCAATTAAAAAAAATAGGAGGTACCGGGGATTGAACCTAGGACCTAGTACATGCTAATCATGTGCTCTACCACTGAGCTATACCAACTCCCACCAAAGTCTTTATTTAGCTGACCCTTACAATGGTCCCTAAATATCTAGGGTGAATTCTCTCCCCAAATGATCAGAGCCACCAGAGAGGCCATGATCTAAATTTCTTTCTGTCTGGGGCACTGCCTACCCCAGGAGAGATCCTGGTAGGTGAGGATAAACTGAGACAGATGGACTCCACTTTGTACTCAGAGAAGGAGCTGAGGTTTGAATTTGTCAGGTCCTCTGGTTCCCTGGACCCCTGTGATTGAGGAGTCCCCATAAGCCTGACTCTCCAGGGTCCCCTCTCACTCACTCAAAGAGAAGGAGGTAATGCTGGGGCCAGACAAAGCGATGCCTGAGAGGAAACGGCAAATGTAGTAGGCTGGGAAGTTGTATGTGAAGGCAGTGCAGGTCCCTGAGACTGCTAACTGCAGGTAGCTCCAGATCAATACCTTCCGCTGGCCCAGCCTGTGGAGAAAGGGAAAACCTGGGTCTGGAGAGCACATTGCTTCCTCCTGCACCCCACGTCCCCTGCTGTCTCACCCTTGGTGCCCTGGGCAATCTAACAGATGCTTGTGAGGCTGCCCACATGTGACCATGAGATGCTGAGATGGGAGGTGGGGAATAATTGGGTGAGGGCTGGCATCTAGGGGGCCTGGTGTTGGGAGGAGCCTTGGGATGCCACTGTCCAGTGTCCTGACGCATCCCAGCATACCTCTTGGGAGGTAGCTACACACTCTCATCAAAAACATAGGGGGATGTTGAAACAATCCAGATGTCTGACCCCACTCAAGGCCTGTTGGATCTGGAAGGTAATCTAGAAACCTGATTTTTAACAAACTCCCAAGGTTTGGGAGCTACTGCTCTGGGGTGTGGTTGATGGTGACTGTCAATCAATGGTGACTCCTGTTAGATAGGAGATAGCCTTTCGTAATTTTTTAAAAAACTGAGGTATAATTGGCAAACAACACTATGATAGTTTCAGGTGTATAACATAATAATTCTATATTTGTATACATTATTAAATGATCACCACAATAAGTCTACTTAAAATCCATTACCATGTACAGTTACAACAATTTTTTGAGTGTGATGAGAACACTTAAGATCTACTCTCTTTTGACTTTCAAATATGCAATAGAGCATTATTAAGTATAGTCATCCTGTTGGACATTACATTCCCATGACTTATTTATTTTATAACTGGAAGTTTGTACCTTTTGACCCCCTTCACCCATTTTGCATATCCCCCGACCCCCTGTCTCTGACAACTACCAGTCCGTTTTCCATATCTTTGAGCTTGGTTTATGTGATTTTTATTTTTGGGAAACCCTTGCAAGGTTTATACTTTTGCAAAATGGATATGACTGTGGCTTAAAGCCGATTGTGAGATTTCTAGTATTTTCAAATTTCATTCTTTAGAAAATTGCCTCCAATTATTCATCCCATAATCTTCATATGGTCTTTGATCTGGAAGATAGTCAAGGTTAAAGTAACCAACACTGAGTTGCACGTACTAATTTAACCCTCACCATAACCCTATGAGGTTAGGATCATCACCACCATTTCACAGATGGAAAAACTGAGTCTAAGAGTGGTTATGTAAACTTTATATGGGCACACAGTTATGGCAAATCTGATACTTGTCCCTAGCTTTTACTGATTTGTAGGTCTGTTTGTTTCTGTGACACTCACATGTCACAAACAAGGCAGAAGTCATGGAAAGTGACTTGCTCAGGATGTCAGGAAATCTGGATTCTTGTCCTGCCTTTGCCACTTATTAGCTGGGTGACTGTACTTTAAAAAAAGTAAACATTAAGTATTTACTTTATACAATTGTAAAAGTAATGAATTATCATAAAAGTTCGAACAATATAGTAATGAAAAGTGAAAAGTTCTCTTTTATTCCATTTGCATTCCTCAGAATAACAACATAATTTCCTTGGTTTCCTTCTAAGCAGTTTGGGCAAGTTATCTAACATCCTTGAACCTCAGTGTCCTCGTTGGTAAAATACAGATAATAGTACCATTCATGCTGGCTTCACAAAGGTATTGTGAGGACTAATAGAAATGAGGTGAGACGTGCAAACTGCTGATGGATGGTGGTGCGATCCCTACAGATTTTCCAGATGTGGCAGGCTTGGGTGGATCAGTTCTGTGTCCATCCCTGGATTCCCAGGGATGCCAATCTCCCCTCTGGGTCTAGCCTAGAGGTCCTAAGCCTTTGCTCCTTGATTCAGCCTTGTTCACCACTGACCTGTCCGCCAAGACTCCAAATGTCAAGTTTCCAGCCAGTATTCCTGCCATGAAGATGGATTGACTCAACTGCGGCAAGGTCTTGTGTGTGCACACGAGGTCCCACTGTGAGGAACGAGAACTGGGGTCAAGGAGAGCTAGGCAGATCCCACAAAAGCCCACTCCCTCTCTCCTGGTGGGGCTGAGGGTCTTGAATTGGGACAAGCACATCAGGAGGGCCTCCCTCCCTGAATCACACAATCTTTCTCATCATCTTCTAGAGAGAATGATTCATGTTATTTCAAAACATGTCAGAGATATCTTTTGGGATGACTGCTCACACTACTTCCCTTTCTCTGAGTACTAACCCCTCACGTTCCTTCAGATCTCTTTAACCTGTCCCTCTCTGGACCCAGATGAAGAAACTGACCCCGGAGACGGACAGAGCTAATCAGGTTCTTTTTCTCACAAATTTGGAAAAGCGACTCAGAGAAGCAAGATTTCTAAGGACACCCAAAGTCAGGGTGGGAGGCTGTGTTTGGAACGATGTGGAAATGGAGTTGAGAAATCATGAGACAGAGAGAGAGTGGGAGAGAGAGAGGGAGAAAAAGAAGAAGGAGGGGGAGGAGGAGTGGAGAAGAATACAGATATTTGGTCAGAGAGAGGGCAGGGTGAGAGCTTAGTGCCAGAGAAGTGGAGATGGAGAGTCCAGGTGCCTTGGTTCTCCTCAGCTACTCCCTCATAAACCTGGGCTCAAGTTCTTGACCTTAGGTTCTATAAAATACCCTTGCGTCCTTCCATTAACTTTCCATTAGCAAATCTGAGAGGGTTGTAGTTATTTGCAACCCCGAATAAGCAGCAATTGGACAACTCAACTAATAGCTTAAATTTTGTTGCTCTTTTTAATGAATGTAAGAAAAAAATTTCTTATTTTAAAAGTATTTCCTTTCTAGGTGGAGTAACACAGCTCTCCAGTCTGCAGAAAAATCATACTGCTGATGGAAGTGCCATAAAAATTAAGTCAAAATGATAAATAGATGGGACATTTCCTTTACAGCTAAGAGCTAATTTTTGTATGCTTTTGAGTGAATTTTTAAACTCATTTCTTTTGCTAACAGAAAAAAGGAAAAGGGGCTGGGATGACCAGGATGTCTCACAACTTGGGTTGAGAGTGGTGAATAATGGAGAAATTCCCCCCAGCTATGCAGGGAGGGGATGGCATACAATGCCTGTGTGCCTCACAGGGAGGAGGACTAGCATCCTTGGTCACCTTCTGCTTCTCTGCCTTGGATCTGTCTAGTGGAAAGTATGGCTTAAGGCTCATCACTTTCAGACAGATGCTGCATCCAGTAAGTTTGGGGACTCTGCTTAACCACAGCCCCTCCTCAGGGCATCTTCTCTGCACAGCCCCGGCTAATGGGTAGTGGGTCACAGAATCCCACTTATTGCCCCCTGGAATGATGATTAGATGGACTGTGGACACCTGAGCTAGTTTCAGGGTCGGGGCAGGCGCTGCTCATCCGTGTGCTGGGCTGAGCCAATCAGAACCTTTTCTAAGAATTTGAATTAAGATACACAGAAATGTTCTAGTTGGCTGTCAGCCCTAGACCTGAGAGGTAGCTGGGACTGGTGGTCCTCCTGCAAGGTAAATACACAGACGAAATGGGTTGAGAAGGAGAAAGTAATGGAGTAAGTGTATAGAGATGCTTCTGGTGTTCCAATTTCTGATTCCAGTTTCCATGAGGCCTGGATACACTTTGTTTCCTGTCCTTGGATTCCCTGAAATCCTTTTTCTCATGAGCTGGTTTGAAAGAACTTCTCTTCCTTCCAACCAAAAGGCCATTGACTAGAACAGATGTTAAGAGCATGATCAATGTGACAGCTACAAAGTGCAGACTTCAGCCGGATGAACCACTTAGCAGGCCAGGGAGACTCTACAATTGGCTGTGTGTGTGCTTTGGGGGAGGGATGCTAAATCACTAGAGACGAAAGTACCCCCCATAACCCTGTTCTCTTCCACATTTTAGTTCCTTGGCTGCTCTCCATCTCCTGGCCCCAGCTGCTGAGAGCTATTTCTAGATGAAGTCAGGAAACTGTTTTTGTCTCTAGGACTCTGAGCCCAGAATCCCCTGCTCAGGAATACCCTCTTTGCCCTCCACCATCTACATGCTTCCTTTCTTTCTTCCTCCATACCACCTCCCCACCTCCCTGCCCTGTGGAATTGCCCAACCCCTCAGGGAAGCCAAAGTAGAATATCACACTCCTGCAGCAGTACCTCTCTCTCTGGCAGAGGTGGAGGGGCAGGGAGCAGTTTTCCACTAGGCATTCCATAACCGTCTCTCAGAATTCCAACCCCTGTTCTCTCACCTGCATTTTGGGCAAAGCTCTTCAAAGCTCCAGGGTCTTCCCACATTCAGACAAGATCAGGTCAGGTTCACACAGTCTGTGCCTGTGTGTGGACTTGGTAAGATGGGGACACAGGGGTTGGATGGTGGGGTGTAGGGGGCCCAGGTCTTCTCACCTCTGTCACGGTGGTGGAAGGGAACGTGCTGTTGTCATAGATCCAACCGTCGCTGCAGGTCTCGGTGGTCCCCGTGCCGTTGGTCGCTGTGCCATTGGGAAAGGGTGGTCCCCGTTGGGGGGAGGTGAAGCGGAGGCAGGACACAGGCTGCCCCTGCCTGTCCCGGGGCAGCCAGGCACCCAGTTCTTCTTCCTTGCTGAGGTTGGTGTCAGCAGGTGGGAGGCAGTGGTGGGTGGGGATGGCGGCGGTGAAGTTCTGCAGGGTGTGGTGCAAATACAGCAGGGATAAGGACAGAATCAACAGAGGGATCTGGATCTGCTGGAAGCGGCCAATGCCCCCCACCTGCAGCAGGAGGTCATTGAAGACCATTGAATGCAAGACCTAGCAGGGGCACCAGAGCTGAGACCGCTGACTCCCACAACCTGCTTCCTGTCTTTCGATGCAGGGGGAGGAGAGGGGCTGCCCTTTGTCTCCTCAGCTCATCAGTTCTTGGGTCTACTGTAGCCTTAGGTCACCTGAACTAAAAACTAGTTTTTATAGCTTCTGCCAAGAGGCCAAGTTAAACTGTGACTTGAAAGTAAGATGTTCAATGATTAAGACTCATCGGGTCAATGGTTTGTTCAAGGGGATCTAAAGGGCAAGTAAAGTCGGATTGGGTGGAAGAAAACGCCCCTCTCGTGAAGGAGGGATATGCATGATGCCTCAAAGTTTGGCAGTTTGAATCTTCCCACCAGGGCAGAACAAGTGACCTCTTCCATGCAGGAGAAGAGAAAGAACAGAGGGACGCCCAAGCTGGTAAAGGCACACCAACCTGGAACTGAACTCCCTTTTCTCAAAGCCACTCAGACCAGACGAAGTTGGGGAAAGACTCTAAAGTGCTCACGGAGAAATGCCATTGTGCTGTGGGTGTCAGCACCCCCTAACCGTGAGTGCTGCCTCTGTGTGAATCCCAGCACATGGGCCTTCAGTTAAGCCACAGCTTAACCTTTACTCAAAGAGTGAACCCTCATCGGAGGTCTATATCAGCAGGGCCTCTTTTTTTTTTTTTTAAAAACACCTTTATTGAAGTATGGTTCCTGTACAGTAACTTATACATATTTCAGATGTACAATTTGATGAATTTTGATATACATCAAAAATTCAACCATGAAACCACCACCACAGTCAAGATAGCTCACATTTCCATCACTTCCCAAGAGATGCAATTTTCAAATTCCCAACTTATCCCTTCCCACCCCTGGGCCTCTTTTCTTATTATAATATTCTCTACAGTCCACTCTACTATTTCTCCTTCCTTCAATTGTAACAGCTAAAGTCAAGGAAATGCCCACCACAGTCTATCCCATTAGCTGGATAAACATCCTCAAATACTGGGAAAAAAAGGCTTTGTTGAGGTTTAACATATACAATAAAATGCATCAATTTTAGGAGCACACTTTGACAAGTTTTGACAAATTTATACACCTATATAACCACTCTATAGAACATTTTCATCACAGCCCCAATTTCCTCGTACCATATCCCAGACATCTCCACCTAGTCCTAGGCAATAGGTTTGTCTTTTCTAGAGTTTCAAATGAATATCACAGTGTATACTCTTTTGTGTCTGGCTTTTGTTCAGTCAAATATTTTCTGTAGTGTTGTAGTGTACCAACAGTTCATTCTTTTTTAATTGCTGAGTAGTATTTCATGGTACAGACGTACAAAAATGTGTTTATTCATTCACCTATTGATGAACACTTGAGTTGTTTCCAGTTTTTGGCTATTGCAAACAACTCTGCTGTGATTATTTGTTTACAATGTGTGGACACATGTTTTAATTTCTTCTCTAAATGTCTAGAAGTGGAATTGCTGGATCATATGGCAAGTGTATACTTAACGTTAACAGAAACTGTCAAATTGTTTTCCAAAGTTTTTCCCCATTTTCTATTTCCATCTGCAATGTATGAGAGTTCTGGTTACTTTACATTCTTTCCAACGCCTTGTATGGCCCATCTTTTGAATTTTAGCCGTTTGTACGGATGTGTAGTGAAATCTCATTGCCTCATTTGCATTTGCTGCTTGACTAATGCTGGTGATATCACTGGTTAATTCTTTGAATCGTTTAAGGACGAGATAATACCGAATTCTGCATAAACATCACAGAAAATTCAAGAATAGAAAACACTCCACAAATCATTCCATGAGGCAACATTACCTTGTGTCTTAGGAAGCTCTGGCTGCTATAACAAAATGCCATAAACTAGGTGGCTTCTCAAAAACAGAAGTTGTTTCTCACAGTTTTGGAGGCTAGAAGGATGAGGTGATGGTGCCAGCAAGGTTGGGTTCCACCGAGCGTCTCTTCTGGCTTGCAGATGACTAATTTCTCATTGTACTCTTACATGGTAGAAAGAGAGCTAGCTCTCTGATCTTCTTTTATAAGGATGCTAATCCCACTCATGAGGGATTTTCTCCCAAAGACCCCACCTTTAAATACCACCACACTGGGGATTAGATTTCAACATACAAATTTCGGAGGGAAACAAACATTCAGTCCATAACACTCTGTTACTGAAACCAGGCAAAAACATTACCCAAAACAAAAATCCCCCCAAAACTAAAGAGCAATGTCCTTTATGATGATAAATACAAAGATCTTATTTTGAAAGTATTTGATAATTTTATCAAATTTAAGTCAACAATATATAAAAAGCATAATGCATCTTGATAAAGTAGGGTTTATCCTAGGAATGCAACATTGACTTAACACTAAAAAAATCAGTTAATGTAATTCACCATATTAATAGACCAAAAAAGAAAAACTTTACGATCATCTCAATAGATGCAGAAAGATCATTTGACAAAATTCAATCTCCACAATGTCCGTGGTTAAACTTCTTAGCAAACTAGGAATAAAAGGGAACTTCTTCAAATTGTTAAGGGAAGGGATTATCTGTGGGGACACTATAGCTAACATGATACTTAATTGTGAAAGACTAAGTGTTTTCCTCCTAAGTTCAGGAACAAAACAAGGATATTCACTCTCACCACTTTTATTTAACATTGTACTGGAGAGTCTAAGCAGAGTAATAATGTCAGTTAAAAAAAAGAATTCCAGAGAGGAAAGAAGGAAATCTGTCTTTATTTGCAGACATGATTCTTTATGTAGAAAATCCTAAGGAATCTATAAAAGAGGCTACTAGGACTAATAAGTGATTTCAGAAAGTTTGCAGGATGCGAGGTCAAGGTATAAAAAGTCAAGTGAATTTCTATATAATGGCAACACACAGAAATAAAAATATCATTAATAAAGCATAAAATATGAAATGCTTAGGGATACATTTGACAAAATATATACAAGATCTCAAAATGGATCATAGACTGACATGTAAGAGTTATATAAGCTTTCTATAAGAAAATGTAAGAGAAATTTTAGTGTCCTTGGGTTTGGCAAA